TAAAAATATGTTAAAAATAAATCAAAGCTGAAGTAAAATTTCTCTGATCATCAGGCCCAAACAAACCGAACGGTGGATAAATGCAGAACAATTCATGTTGTAGCCACAGGTGGAGGAGCTCACATCTTTATCCAGACTCTGTGACTTGAAAAGTTGGTGTGTTGTCGAACAGCTGGTGTCATGTGAAGTTAACAGTGCTGTGTGAAAACTTCCGTAAATCCCAGAGCTCTGAACTCTCTTCCTGGTACTACCTCTTTCTCCCTTTATCTGTACAAAACATGTTGCGTGTCTGCTGTGTTAAAGAGGCCTCAGTAAAAAGCGAGGAGAGTAGGGAGGCAACAACTCGTTCTCATCACACATTGTGCATAGTATCGAACTTAATCTGACACAGATGTCAGAACTTCCTCATTCACATGACCTAATGTGACTTCTACCAATCCACCCGCACCCCCATGCCCATAACAAACCCCCACCATGACATTTCATGGTGGGAGTGTCGACTACTTGTCAAAATCTTTTAAGATGTTGACCAAAACAAAAAGCTTCAAAAGGAATGAGGTTTGATCTGCTGGGGCTTTTGGAGGGGTCAGATTTTTGATTAGCGTCATCTGATGAAGTCTGTAAATGGTGGAGTGTTTTTTTAATTTCATGTCAGCAACTATATTCAACCAAAAAAGGTTTAAATTGATTTAGATAGCAGCTTGTCTCTGCATCCATCATTAAGACAAATAGTTGATGTAGCTAACATTGCAACATACTTTATTTGCAAGAAAGCTTCACACCTTGACCTTGATCTAATTTCTTCATTGCAGCAGAAATGTGAAACAATTCTTCTTAAATAATTATTAAAATATTGTGCGACCTGTCCAGGGTGTACTCCGCCCCTTCCACAGTGATTGCTGGACATGGGAACCGGCAACCCCCGTGACCCAAAATGGAAGAAGCGGGTAAAAGATAATGGATGGATGGATGGATGGATGGATGTTTGACTGATTGTGCTGGAGAGCACTACCTAACATGTTGGTTCAAATGCACCTTGTTCAACTGTGGTTAAGATTTAGTGGTTAAAAAAGTCATAACTAAAGTTTATTTGCCCAAAAACTATTAAGTGGTCTCTAGTGCTCTACGAATAGAAGCTCAATTGACAGGAGAGACCACACCCACGAACACTGAGATGTTTCTTCACTGAATAAAGGTTGCACAAATTCGTTTTGTTGTACCCTTAAAGGGATTCCGGACTAGTTAGAACAAAAGACCTTATTTCATAATTTACTTCAGCTATAAAATGAGACCATATACTGTTATAAATGCTGTTACTGTTATAAATGCTGTTTAGTTTTTATAATTTTTTTAATTTAATGTCACACTTGTGAAAGCAGTCCGCTGCTGCCATGCAGATGGAGGCCATCAATGCTAGTTCATGTGGCATGACTCCACTTTACCTTTTAGCTTTCACGTTAGCTGCAGAGCTCATAAATATAGCGTTAGCTCCAGAGCTAATATACTAAACATCGCAAGTTGATCATGTTTGATCGTTTTGACTCACATTTTGTGCATAAAGACTAATGCAGAATAAAACTATATGATCATCCATCCATCCATCCATTCATCCATTTTCTTTACCCGCTTATTCCATTTTGGGTCACGGGGGTCGCTGGTGCCCATGTCCAGCAATCACTGTGCGAGGGGCGGGGTACACCCTGGACGGGTCGCAAGTCCATCACAGGGCCACATCGAGACAAACGAGACAAACAACCATTCACTCTCTCTCTCACACCTAGGGACAATTTAGAGTTACCAATCAGCCTAACATGCATGTTTTTGGACTGTGGGAGGAAACCGGAGCACCCGGAGAAAACCCACGCATGCACGGAGAGAACATGCAAACTCCACCCAGAAAGGCCCCTGGACCGGGGTTTGAACCAGGGACCTGCTCGCTGAGAGGCAGCAGCTCTACCAGTTGCGCCACCGTGCTGCCCATGATCATACATTATAATATTTCTATCATTATCTGTGGTTTAGTTGAACTCAGGGTGCAGACAGACACGGAGAACTCAAGAATAAAATAAGAAAACTATTTATTGAAACTGATAATAAAAAGGCTGATTTGGCAGCAAAATTTACATGGAGAATGTGAAATAGGAGACACAAAGGAAAACAGAGCATGAACGCCTTGGCAGTGTCATAAACGGTGCTTTAAAGGTCGAACCCAATGGTGCAGGCAGGACACTGAAGACTCCAGAATGTAAAATAAATATAATTTATTAAATAAACATGCTGACGTGGCAGCAAAACTCACATTAACAGGCGATCCTGGGAAACACAGGGAGCAAGGTGAACATGAAGAGACTAGAAGACGAGAAACAGTTGACGTAGACTTATATACAAATACTAATGAGACCTAAGACACAGCACCTGTGAGACATTACAGGTGTGGGAAGCAGGGGGTAATCATAACAGGGAGAGGACAGAAACATCACACAGGAGGGCACAATCCTCACAGTACCCCCTCCCTAAAGATGTCCCCTGACATCCAAAAAACCCTCCCCCAAAACTTGGGTGGGAGGGAGGGGGCAGCAATGAGGATGGAGGCTACAAGGGGACACAAGAATGAAAAAAACAAAACTGACAAGACAGAGCCTGGAAACAAGACATAGAGAGGGCCAATGGGAAAGATTTTAAGTTGGTGGCCAGGAGACTGCCCATCACGGGGCCTCAATTCAGGGGGATGGCCGGGAGACCACCCATAATGGGACCATATTTCACCTGGATGGCTGGGGTACTGCCTATCATGGGACCATAGTTCAGGTAGATGGCTGGGGGACCGCCCATCATGGGACTATAGTTCAGGTTGGCAGCCAGGTGGGCGGCCAGGGGGCCATCCAGCACAGGGTAGACCAATGGTGAATGACACCCCAAGAGACCGTGACCAATCAGTGCGGGGAAAGAGGACTGGAGAGACCATAGGTTCTGGTGCGGGGACCAGGGGGACCTCAGCTGTCACAGAGGCTAGGAAAGCTGTAGATAACAATGAGCCTATGTATCCTGCAGCTGTAGCCTTGACCTGGGAAGCTGTAGATGAGGGTGAGCCCAGGGATACCGCAGCTGTTTACTGAGACTACAGCTGGCATAGAGACCTCAGGCGATGCAGCTGGCATAGGAAACTCAGGGGATGTAGGCGGTATAGAAGCCTCATAGGCTGCTGGCAGCGTAGGAGACACAGGTGCTGCAGCAGGGGGCATGCCCACTTCTGGAACTGCAGCAGGGGATGTGGCCACTTCTGGGACTGCAGAAGGGGACGTGGTCATTTCTGAGATTGCAGAAGGGGGAACGGCCACTTCAGGGATGGCAGAAGGGAGCATGGATGCTTCTGGGACTGTAACAGGAGGTGTGGCCACTTCTGGGACTGCAGCAGGAGGCATGGAATACTCATGATAATCAGGGCCCTCTGCAAACCTAGAGACCTCTGTGGACATAGAGACCACCTTGGGAGATGCTTTGGTAGCTGTGAGACAGTCTGTGTTCATCGAGGCATCTGCGGTCATCGAGGTATCTGTGATCGTTGAGACGTCAGCGGTCATCAAGGCATCAGCAGACAATGGACCCTTGTTAGTGGTCATTGAGGTGTCAGAAGACACTGGACCCTTGTCAGCGGTCGTCAAGGCATCAGCAGACACCGGATCCTATGCAGCATACACCAGACCCTCTGTAGCATACACCGGACCCTCTGTAGCATACACCAGATCCACTGCAGCAGACACAGGACCCTCTGCAGCAGACTCTGGACCTACTGCAGCAGACTCTGGACCCTCTGCAGCAGGCCCTGGATATTCTGCGATAGGCTGTGGATCTTATGAGGCAGGCTCTGGATCCTCTGCGGCAGGCCCTGGATCTTCTGCAGACGAGTAGTAGTGACAAGCGTCCTGGGCCCTCTCGCAGACACCAGGAACAGGTGTGTCTGGTAGGTTCAGTGGTGGCACAGGTCCCGAGCTCCAATCACTCCAGGTGTTTCCCAATCTGTTTCATTAGCATTTTTATTTAGATTATGTGAGGACTACCCAAACAGAAAACCTTGGCTGAATGCAGAGGTGCGCACCCTGCTCTCTGCTCCTCTGAGTCTGGAAACTCAGAGGAGCAGAGTAGGACAAGAAAAGAGCTGGTTGCTGGTATTAAGAAGGCCAAAGCCACATATGCACAGAGGATCGAGGGTCAATTCATCTCACAAGACCCTCGGAGCATGTGGAGGGGCATTAAGTGCATAACAGCTTATAAAGGAAGAAGTGAACAATGCCCCAAAGACCCATCACTGCCTGATGCCCTCAACAAGTTCTATGCACGCTTTGAAGACCCGAACAGACCACCCAGCACCAGACTCACCTCACCACCAGATGAAGAGCATCTCAGCGTGACCTCAGCCAAAGTAAGGAGTACTTTCAGGAGGATTAATCCGCACAAAGCAACTGGCCCAGACAACATCCCCGGAAAAGTGTTGAAGGAATGTGCCGATCAGCTCTGCGAGTTGCTGGCAGACATCCTTAACACCTTTCTTACCCTGGAGACAGTTCCCACCTGCCTGAAGACTGCCACCATCATCCCAGTCCCAAAAAGCTCTACAGTGACTGGTCTGAATGACTATCGTCCAA